CTGGTGTTTGCGCTTTGATCCCTGAGTCTCCTCTTGAAGAGGTCTGGTCGCCGCTCAATGCTGCGAACTTGAAAGGCACTTCTGAACCCCTGAACACAATTGGATATATATTATATATATATATATACATATGTATATAGCAACTCTGACACGTTCTGGACAAGAATGGGCCTCAAACGTTGTGCAGTACCAAAGAGTAAGGCAGAACGAGAAAGGCAGGCAATCAAAAGACAGTGTAGGACTAACATTTAGGTGCCGCAAGGCAGCAGTGCCGGAAGACATGTGCATTTTGGCCAGACAGTTTTCCACGGGATTGACACAGACCGGGCCCTCGAGAGACCTTTGTGAAATAAGAGAGTGGCTGAAGCTGATGATGAATGAGGGAACGGTGCATCATTTTTGCAATGGTTTAATTGGCGTTAAGCAGCCTTCACGACGTCCAACTTTCCCATAGCGGCATCAGAAGCATGCCTGTCCGAGTCCTAATGTACGCCAGAGAAAACAGGACACATAAACAAGCTGTAGACGCCGTCACAGGGTTGACTGTTTTGTAAGAGGACGTTGACTCCAAACCGTTCGTCCGAGGAGCCGGACCCTTTGCGCAAAAAAGCTTGAGGCATTGATCTGGGATGACAATGCCTCGAAAGCCGGCACTTAGTGTAGTTCTGGTGTGCTAACTATGAGTGGGCACACAGGCAGAGGCAGTAAAATTTGAATAACTTAGGGCTGAAGGGCTAGGCCGAGGAGTATGTATTGAAAGAATTGCCGTCACGCAAAATGGAAACGAGGCAGGAGCGCGGTTTGTAACCCCAACCCTCTTCAGGTCATGCCCATTGTGGCCTTGCAAAAGGCAGAATTGGATTTAGGTTACGTGCTGAGCTAGGCAGTCTTGACACGGCAGGCTGGGGTGCAACGTGCCTGCGCTGTCTGGCTCTCAGAGCATGTCTGCCCACTAGCAAAAGGATCGGATAATCATGAGGCCTTTCCAGAGCACACCCAGCTATGCCCCCCGGTTTCATTTGAAGTCTTGATGACACGGCGGTGTTGCCGAACCCAACAAGCTCCCTATAATCACGAAAACTAGTGAAGCTAGGCTTGAGTTTAGTCTTGCTTTGGCAGTAGTAGCTGTCAAGGTCTGGAAAACGACGGATCGCGTGACATATTACAGGATGGGGGCGAGGGGTGCGACAGTGATTCTTTTACAGCAAAGTGTAGGTTTGGAGGGGGAGGGGGGGCGGAGGGGGGGGGGGAGGGGGGAGGGGGGTCCAATGTGATTCTTTCNNTGCGAGAGGCTTCGTAGGAATAACGCCATGTTTGGTTGGTAATTGTACTATAACATCATGCCTGGTCGTTGCCCTGACATGCTCATGGTACGAATTAACAACTTTATAACAGTCCTTATCACTTATTTCTTTGACATTTTCTTTCTATTTAATCTCTCATGCTGTAACTAAAGTACTACAGTTTCCAGTTCCTGCAAATGTTAGTGTTCCTGTTGATATTGCAGAACCGTAAACATCAGAACCAGATGAGTTCATGTCTAACTTATTAACATTATCAATTGACATTAATATTGGTCCGTTGCTGTCTGGACTATCCACTTTAATTCTTTGACTTACTGATACATCCGAATGTGTAATGTCTACATATCCTAGTCGATGGGCCTGTCCGTCTGTTACTTGAATCTCTGGCGTTGATGATTGTAATCCCATTCTAAAATATTTTAAACGCATGCATCGTTGTTTCTGATAAATAACTTATACTGTGTGTCCAACACTTCTTACAATTCATTTCTGTTCTGAATCATGCAGCGCCCCAACTAGTCACATCCGCCTTTCCACTAATATTACCACTACTATTAAATGTGTGATTATTTGTAACTGCTCTATTAGTGGTATTTCTGAGACTGTCGCTTAGTTTTAATGCTATTGTTCGTGTTGTGAGGTCGGATGTTCTACCCGGCTGTATATTTCCTCTGTTAGTATTGCGTGTTAATTGTTATTAGCAATCGCTCTTTGGTAGAATTTTGCGTTCGTATTTTAGGGTTTGTTTTATGGTTGTTCTCTGACTAATGTTAGGTTCTAGTTTTACCACACGTTACGTAGCTTTGTCAGACCTTGAAGGCTACCACTGCTAAAGCAAGACTAAACTCAAGCCTAGCCCGCTTGATTTGTGCTCCTATGTTTGCTGTTGTAGGGTCTGCTTCGTGATGAGATCGAAGACTGGACATGATTTCATGAGAAGTAGTGATGTTCAATGATTTACCAGCGTATGCGCTCTGATATATCCGCATCTAACTGATATGCTCCTGTCAGTGTCCAAAAATAAGGTTCCAGGCTTAAATATAGGTACTTGCGTTGTCCCACCTACGTACCGTTCAGAAATATGACATATTGGGGTCTGCTCCTGTTCCTACCTTTCACTCCCGTCGTTCCTGCCTTTATTTCACCTGTTGATGTGTCTTGTATTTCCATATGTGTTTGAGCTCATGAGGTTGTTAAGCAGTTTAAGTTTCTATTCCTGAACTCCCAGTCGTTTCTGGTGGTCAAATCCAACTTCCCGGCTGTACTCTGTCTGTCGCGGTTCACAGTTCACGACGGTTGTATGGTCATGGTACGGGTGTGATAATACCTCCCTACTTGCTCTATCCTTTGCCATACCCCAGCAAGTCCACAGTGCGGATAGCATGATGCAGGTGGTTTGAAAGGTTTTGCTCCCCTTTGTGTTCGCAATCCTTGCAAAGTCATGATACACATAAACCGTGCTGGTCGTTTCGTCACACCTCCCTGGCCCCTCCGTACTGATCACTACTCGGCAAGCATCATGATGGTGGGTTGTTGCATTCTGCCCTTGCATGAGCATGGTATGAATGGCACTAAGCTCGATTTTTGTACTGACGCTCCCTACTCCGTCTTTGAGAGTGCATGCCCTTGAACGGTCATGGTACCGAGCACGTCATGCCTTGTCGTTGCATGTCGCCTTCTCCTCTTGCTGTTTGTTTCCTGCGTGATCTTTGTACGAGTACCATTTTGTTTTGTGGTTGCATCCAACCAAAAGCGACAACACCTATACGAGGATGGTGACGGCGCGAATGCTTGGAAACGCTTGCGAACACTTGTGGATGCGTTGCGGACGCTTTGCGGACGCTTGCGGACGCTTGCGGAGTTTGCTCGGCCATGGATTCCCAGATCGCAAGATTGAAAACAGGACCCCTTCCGCAGAGCTCTCAGCAATATGAAGGTGGCATGGAACAACTAAGCAGGATGTTACTTGTAGCATGACCACACAACGTCGGGAACACTATGAAAGGGGAAAAGAGGTTTGATTCAACCACGAAGAGTGAACATACCCGCGCTCTGGACGGGGCATGGGGCCGGGCGAAACGGGGAAGCGTTGCTGCTTCGTGGCGTGTGAAAAGTTCATGAGCGCCAACAGTCACGGGGATGCTGCACCTTGGGGTAGCCATCTTGGTAACTTTATCCGCTTTTGGGGTGTCACGTCCTTGTTGCGCGTGAAAAGTGACAGGGGATGAGCCCCCTTGGGGGTCGCCATCCCACTTTTGGAGCCTCGTGTCCTCACCTCATGTAAAACATGCCCACTGTCGCAGGCAAGGGTGCCTTCAGTTTGCCATGCTCGTAGCGGACGTGTCTTCGTCGCAGGTGACCCTGTGGTCGGGATGAGACAATGAGACTCGCCATCCTCGTGCCTGTCCTGGCTCTTGGACGTTGGTAGAGAATGCCGGGAGTACGCTACTTGCGCCATTGCGAAATGAAATGGAGTGGAAGGGACAGGTGTGAGGGGAAAGTGCGGTGGAAAGAGGTGCAGAGTGAGGTGGAAAAGCAGTGGA